ACACCTGTGTGCATCTCAGGACCACCTTCACTACAGAGAGAAACATATACATTGTTTTCCAAAGTTGAAGATGCAGAGTCTGACTCTAGAGGGGGTTGTATACATGGAATGTGATGATGAGAGGGATGAAGAAACTTTCCTATGTGTATTAAGAACCAGTGTTCTCTCATTTCATGTACAAACTTATACGACCATAACATATATAGCTGACATAGAAGTCATGGCATTCATCTTGTGGCAGGAAACAGCAAAACTCCCATGACTGTTTAGTCCTAGAGACTGTCTGTGGAGCTAGTAGGTGTTTTGTGATTATACAGATCAAGAGTATATAGTAATGTCACTATTGTAAGAAGTAGGTTTAAATTCTCCCTCTTCTGCTCAGTAAAAGATCACACTTACCAACCACAGTCCCTTCTGTGACCGTATGTCCCCTTTGCTTTGGGCACAGTTCAGAGGGCTGGGCAGTCCTGCCTGCCCGTAATTCACAGAAATCCTGGGGATGGATATTCACACACAACCAACTTGGACTCCTCTGTTAGCCAACGAGCTCACCACCGGTGCCTCTGTAACCGGTAGAGGAAAAGCAGGTCTTCCAAAGAGCAAACCCAAGCAGATCCAAAACTTCATGTTCTGGATTGTTCTTCAGGAGTACCTTCAAGAACAAGAGGAATCTGAGGGAGTCCAGTCAGTGTGTTTAGGTAACTGTGATCTCCAACACCACAGTTATTCCTGAACTCCTGTGTGAATTGACTTTTCTGTTGGGCCTTCACTGCATAACCCACCAGACTTTCCTGCTTGTGCCTCCTCAAACAGCTGAAGAGCACCCTGTCTCAACTGTACACAGGGATGAGTACTATCCAGGCATAGAATGACGATGGAGTATATTACTATGGAGATTCGAACTAATTCTTCTGCAGGGCATAAAATAAACCTAAACAGAAGCAACTCTTCTCTCTGAAAATAAACAAAAGCAAGCTGTCCTCCTGTGGACTTTCAATTTCATTTTAGTATTTTAGTTTAGTTTTTTTAGGATGAAGACCCCCCCAACTCACTTGTGAGAGACAACAGTGAGCAGTGTACTGTTCTTACACATTAAGACCCTTTCAATTATTCCCCTACATTTATCCTATAAAATCACAGGGTGGAAGAAAGGGGAGGAGGGAAAATATTAGTGCTCACATTACTGTCAAACTCTAAACAAAATTGGAGGTAGGTCTAGTCACACTTAATGGTTCTTGATCTCAGTGACTAGTTATCTCAGTCCCATCTTGTACATCCTGAATCACCTGTTACTAAACCATGTATCCATTAGAGCTAGATATCCACTGCATTTCAAAAATGGTTTCATCACTTTTGGTTTAATTCATTTCCTTTTTACATATGATGTCATCTACACCAGAAACTAGATCCTCCAGGTGAAGCTCTTTTGTCTATTATGTTATTTTGTCTGCTGTGAAGAGAATTACATCTAGGAACTGGATCTAAAGCAATGAGACTTTTTTTTCTGGCAAAAAAACAAGTCTTAATGGCGCTGGTATCTGATTAAGGCCCAAAGCAAATACAAATTCATACGAAACCAAACTTTTATCTTTTGGCCTGATATAAGCAGACAGTAGGAAGGATATGGAATGCTTTGAAAGGGGATCATTTCTATGATTCTATGACAAGTAATTAACTCTGGGCAGTGTTGTGCACAGTACCAGATTCCCAATCATCCAAATATTAGATATTTTTTCAAAGCCTTTCCTCTGCCTATCATGTTTTCATTCAAGTGACTTTTCCCAACTTTAAAGAACTCCTTACTCACAAGCAAATGACTCCCCAGTGCCTTCAAATGCCTCTGTTGCTTTACAAAATTCTTGATAGCACCAAATCTGCCTCTCCTGTCATGTTAGCCAGTACTATCTTGTTCTTGCATACACACTGTGTGTGTAAGAATATATATGTTTTGTAGGAATAAGCTTTGTTCATTATTTGTACAATATTGCACAGTCCAGATTTTTGGCTCAGGCATTGAGATTGTAGGCCTTAACCATAAAAGCAGTAATAAGTAAATGTGCCAACACTTTCTATAGGAACCCAAATAAGCTATTTCCTGCTGCAGTTGAATACCAGTGCTTTGTGGTTTAATTGATTAACATTTCATTCAACACTATTTTTGAGTTCAGTGTGGTACATATGATGGCACATTACATTTCCTTTACAGTGGGATGTAATTTTATTCTGACATGCTAAATTATGGTATTTTAATGCAGATAATCTCTGCAGCCTGTCTCCACTTGAAAGAGAAAGAGAGACTGATGTGAGGGTTCTTTGACTTTCTTAAAGATTCTGTTTGTGCTCTGTTTTTTTAAAGGGCAAAAGAGATTCTGTTATCTTCTAACTCAGAGGCAGTGGTGCCCCATCCTTGGGAGCCTCAGAATCTGAATGATCTATGACTTTCCAGTCAGTTTTCCCTAGTGTACTGGCCACACCAATGCGAAGTCATCAGAACAGAATTAAGCACATTGGTAAGTTATTGTGTTATGCTTAAAATCTTGTATATGAGCAAAAAGGAAGAATGCCTTATATTTAATAAAGCTGAGAATTTATTGTTAGTGTAAGTGAAATCTTAAAAGGAAAATCATTATTATTCCAGATCTAATTGCTGCAGGAAAAGGAAAAATAATAATGCAACTAAAATTGTTATACATAAGCTTCATTCACACCCTTCTTCTACCTTCCCTTCCACTGCTACTCTGGATCCTAAGGTTAGCGGTTTCACTGTAGGCAGTTTGTTCTAGTGAAGGTAAGAGTTGTTTGTTGTGCATTATCAGCCTCTGAAGTCCTTTGCCGGGAGAAATATAATAGTTATACTGATATCTTCTTCCTCACTCTAGGATCCAAATAACTCTGGGGTCATTTCCATATATTTGCTGCACCTTTCTCTTTCTTCATGAGTGTGCAAGTCCATGTTACATTTGAATTTACCATATCCAGTGTTCTTTACATATGTTAGATATTTCCCTGTTCTCTTTGTTACCCCCTGGAAGGAGGTTTGTCCAGCTGTAGGCCTGCATTTCTACATAGAACAATTCCTTGTCACTGCTGTCTGTATAAGCCTATATTTGTATCAATCAAAGGTAAACAAAATAAAACAAATTAGCCCTACATGTCAATTAGAGAGATTGCTGTCACAGATAGATTAGGTGAAACAAAGCTGCAGGCAAATAAAGTTCAGACAGGGCAAATCTGACATGCCTTAGTGTTGAGGTCTTACAGATTCAGTACAAACTTCATGTTCTAGCAATGTCAGTACTCTATTGCAGGGCTATACATTTAAATATGAATGTCAGCTAATAAGTGCTTTCATGCAGTCTGTACAGTAGTCATACTCCAAACTTATTTTGAGATAGTAAAGACATGGGCAGTTTTTGTGTTTTATACATACAACAAATTGCAGTTTGGAAATAATAAAAAAAAATTGAAAATGCATAGAGGTGGGACTGAGATATCTATGCTCTTATTCTGTTACCTTTGAAAATAAATCCTAGCATCTTGAATGGAATAGGGTAGGACTGCTGTGAGTACTACAGTAAGAAAATTCCTACTGTCAGAATGAGTGGGTTGTCAGATTTTCTTCAACATGCCAGGCAGATGTCATGTCAGCTACAGGGAGACACTGCATTACAGACATGCAGTATCTGTGTGGTCAGCAATAAGTGACTTCACGCTGTAGTTGGAACACCTGTTTTCCTAATGGTACCAATGGTGTCTAATATTCATCATTGTCATCTGATGGTAAACAAGCTGTACAGGGAACAGAGGTAAGTTTGTACAGTAAAAGTTTGTACATGCACAAAATAATATGTATTTTTATTTAGAGTTTAGTGAAGATTTTTTCACAGATCCAAAAAATGAGGCTCAAAAGGAGGCTTCCCTATTCATCTATGTGGAACTGGTGTAAATAGGATGAACCACTTTTCAGTGTGTCCTTTATATTATAAAAATTACAGTATAATCTTACTGCTTGTACTCCTCCTGTGTGACTCTTTTTTTTCAGATTGCATACTCACTACTCCAGAGTCATTGTACACTACAACAGGTTTGGAGATAATATAGATATAGCAAACTCTTGACAAAGAAGTTTTTATCTAGGAGAAGGTGGGAACAGGCTGATAAATCTTGCTGTGAGCTGTAGGTAGATGAAGGACTTGCTTTGCTTTCCTTTATGAATCTAATTCAAAGCCTAATGAAATCAATATGCTTTCCTATGTTATTTTAAAGCACTTGGGAATAAATTATTTTCCTATAGATATGGATGAAAATTAGTTACATAGTTATGCATCTGTCTCATCATCCATAAATTCTGCCTGTACTGTTACTTATCCCAGAAGTCCAGCTCAGCTCAAGCCATTGTTCTCAATGAATAACAATATGAACCAGCTTAAAATGAGTTTGTTGTGAAAATATAAGAGGAGAATTATAACAGCCAGAAGAGAAAGTGAAAAAGATGAGAGCTGTATGACTGCAACATCAACACTGAAATCTGGGAGAATATTTTGTTATCCTATTTGCTATAGTGTTATTGCCAAAATTTATAAACAAAACCTGGCCAGATTGGATCAGTGCTTAATTACAGGCTTCTGCATCTGGCAAGAATTAATTGGACAGAGTTGAAGGAACTTAGCTGCTTTATTCCACTGTCACTGGTTGAGTATGAGAGTTATTTATTCTTTCCTGTGTTTGCTAAGTTTATCCAGTTGCCTTGGATGAACTCAGAACTTCTGGCAGTTGTTGATTTTGGTCCTGAAATACTTCTACATTGATAAGAAAGCATAATAACAGTTTTGCAATCCTAGCATAACTAGTTGTGGCCACTAAATTTTCAGAAACACAAAACTGAAAGGGAGCTGGTACCCTTTTTGAGGCCAACACAGTTAGTAAAAGTTTGTAATACACTGAAAAGCACTGGTACTCATTGACATTATGTTTATCTAGAAATTAGCTACTTCTGCAGTATGGGCGTATTACCTGTCATAAGTAGGTTGCTACATTTGGTAACCAAGAAAACTGGTAATTGCTGTGTGTCTAGAAAGGAACCTCTGTCCTTTGCAACTGGACATGCTAATTTATTGGAAGGGATAAAATGTGGAGGAACACTCAGAATCCCAGCTCCCTGCCTTTTTGTAAACATAGATGAATAGGGAAGCCTCCTTTTGAGCCTCATTTTTAGCAATTCTTGGGATAGAAAATATCAAGCTGCAGTAGAATATGGGTGCTTGCTTAGCACTGAAGGTGTTCTAAAGGTGATAATCACACACACAAACTCAGCACCTTTTCTTAAGCACCTTCTTTTAAAGTGTAGAGCAGAGAATGTTTTTAGAAATTCAAGTTGTTATTAAAAGTCCTAATCAAGATATCAGTTGCATTATTGATAGGCTCAGTGGGAGTAGGCATCTTTTCCTGGCAGCTACACAGACTTTGATTTATAGCAGTGTAAATCAGATTTGCACCTGATTCACTGTAGTGTGCTTTTTCATGGCAGCACACACTATTTAACACTGTATCATACTACAGTGCTAACCAGTGCTAACCAGCAAGACACTGTTTGTCTGCTCTCTGCCTACCAACATTGAATTTGCATGCTAGCTGACCCACACACTGACCTCTGCACAAGCAGACACACAGTGGCACTACTTACAAGTAAGCAATGCACAGGCAATGCATCGCTTCACTGTTGTCAGCTTTACCAAGTATAACAGCCTATCTAAATATGGCTTGTGGCCACTGCTGTACTCAGAAGTTAATGCAAAGACACAGCATAAGCAATGGCTGGTGAAGGACTGGAAATTAATCAAGCATTAGAAAAACAATGTGAGGCAAAGTGGACATCATTATTTCTCACTTTGGATGTTCCAGTTTCCTCATGACCAAGACACCTGCTACTTTGCCCACTATTATCCTTACCCCTACTCCAATCTGTAGGAGTATCTGGGGGCCATCTCTAAAGATCCAGTGAAGTCCACGTTCTTCAAGATTCACTTCTTATGCCATTCACTGGCAGGAAACACCATCATCATCATCACCACCACCACCATCCCCCTCCAAAAGTGACAAGGAAGGCTGTGATACTGACAGTGAGGGTGCATCCAGGAGAAACAGAGTTCCTGGATAGTGAAGGGCTTCATGGATTTCATTCTTGGTAAGCAAAGCTCAACTCCTGTGGGACAATTTTATCTTGAAAGTGGTACAAATGTTGAATCCAGATGGTGTGATTGTGGGAAATCACCACTGCTTTTAACAGGCCATGACTTGAATTGCAAATATAGATCTATTGTAGGAGGAATATTACCCTTCCATCTGGTGTACCCAAAACATGATAAAAAGATAACCTCATTTTCTTTCCCTTTGAAACAGTTGATTTTCCTTTCCACTATATTTTTTTAGTTTGATGTCTCTATGTCCCTTATTGTTTTGATATTGTTTACATCTTTGCACTGCATCCAAGCGCTTCTGACTGCTTTGTTTAGATTTAGTTGCATTTCAGAGTGGGTTATTTGCAGGTTTTCCTTTAATATACTTTCTCCTTTCTGGTAATAAATTTTGTCTTCAAAGCAAAAAGAGTTTTCATCAAAATGTTTTCAGCATATTTCTCCCCATATCCTCTGCAAAAAAATCTAGTTATCAAATTCCTTATTTCTTTCATTTGCTTCTTTTCTGGCATACAACTACTTTCCAGAATGAGGTTAGGTTCAGAATAGATCCCAGATGTCCATTTGACAGCAAAGATTGCCAAATTTACTTGTTTTGATATAAATGGTTTTGACTTCCTATGCAGACTTCCAATCACAAAGACATTGATACGATGGATATAAAACTAAACCTTCAGGTATTAAATTAAACCTTCAGCAAGTAAACTAAATCTCTCTAGTTTAACTTCTACAACAAATTAATACAAACAAAACTCTTGTGCAGAAAGTCAGTGTCAGAAATAGTACATTTAATGTTTTTCATCTAGGTACAGCTTGTTTTAAATAAGGTTTGTGTTCCTTCATGTGACTGGTTTGGCCTACAGATCCCTAGCTTACAGGGATTGATGCTTCAGGTTGCAGACAAAACACACATTTGAAAAGACATGAAAGAACACACATGTGAAAGACTTGGAGTCCATAGGACAGCATTTCCATAATGCTCTCTTAAACTACTGTGTAAACAGCAAGCAGGTAAAGATCCCCCTACGCCTTTTCTCCTGCCTCAGTTAGTCCAGCTGTGAATAACAGAGTAGTCTATAGGTCTATAGCAATAATAAATTTGATAATGACTTTCTTTAACCAATTAACTAAATTTGCAGTGTTTCTTATTATTAGCTGTGCCTGAAGGAACACAAGAAGGTAGTGAAACAGCAAGCCAGGGTGAACTCTAAGGTCCTAAATTCTGATGTGTTAGACTGGTATACCAAGTAACTTAGAATTATTTAGATATGCCACAATTTATTTTATGTTTTCCTTATCTCATAAAGAGTGTCAAAGGAAAAGTTATAAATGTTATTAAAATTAGACTTTTACTACTCACACTTCTTAATTTAACACTTCTTAATTTAACACTACTTAAAAGATTCCACACGAATCTTATAGCCAAACCTTAATAGCCAGTTCACTGGAAGCAGAGCTCTGTATCTACTCCAGGTGGCCTTCCTGAGGAGAAATGAAACTGCATTGGTCTAGTGCATCACTTAAATCAATACGCTTTTTTTGCAGCCTTACATTTTGCAGAGCAATCTAGGCCCCATATAAGGTGCATTTTTTGGTTTTGTGGAAATTTTTTTCATTAACCTTGGAAGACACTAGCATGATTCCATTTAGCCAAAGCAGTTAAGTTCAGGGGAACTGATCGAAGACCAAGAATCTGTACACTGACTAAACAACACACCTATTAAACACGATCAGCTCCTCCTGTGCAGGATGTTACTGGAAGATCATGTGTGCAGGTGATTTTAGAGAGGTGGGCATTATGCATTATGAAGAGCTGTGGCCCTAACGTGGTCATTTATTGGGGAATAAAACTTTTGTACCTTTCTTTTTTTGGGGAAACTTTATTACATTGGATCTATCTCATCAAACTTAAGGTGCCCCGAGTATAGAAATCAAGATCTGAGCTTAAAAACTGATGCTGAACTGCAAAGAAATAAAAAAGAGACATGTGGATAGATTTAGATCATATACTAGGAAAAAATTCTTCACTATGGGTGTAATGAGCCACTGGAACAGATTGCCTGAAGAAGTTGTCACTGCTCCATCCCTGGAAGTGCTCAAGGCAGGCTGGATGGGACTTGGAGCAACTTGATCTAGTGGAAAGTGTCCCTGACCACGGCAGGGGAGTTGGAATTAAATGATCTTTAAGGTCCCTTCTAACCCAGACCATTCTATGATTTTATGATGGCTCTATCATCTTGATGCATCAAAAGAGAATTAGGATCTTACTTGTTGCACACCAGCTAAAACCAGGTACTGAGGTATGCAATGACTTTTCCTTGTTGTTTATATCTCTGTCCTGAATGACACTGGGAAAGACTCACTAGAGTTTAAAAAACTCTATTTTGAAGAACTGAAGGATTAAGTCAGTCAGAATAGTAAGTAACAAATCAATAGAGATACAGTCAAATGAACAGTACACAGCAGTAGTATTCATTTTCCCTGTAGCTTAACCTGGATTGTCCAGAAAGTAGTGGTTTTCTTCCAAAGAAGGTGGTTTTCCACCTCTCAGGTTCTGCAGTACAGCTGAGTAAACAGACATAGGCTCAGGATAAGGAGGGCATCAGCTTTAAGCATGAGAAGTATCATGCCCATGTACTCTGATGTCAGTCATGCTTTGCAACATTCAGTTCAGAGTGTTCAGGAATTGTGTGCTCCTCTCATACATGCAAGAAAGTCATCACACTGGCACTAAGTGCCCATTGCCTACATCTAAGCTCACAGACACATGTAGCTTCAGATTTAACAAAGTAATTTCACTGGAGGGCAATAAGACATTTTATTTTCCTTAAACCTTTATTTACTTGTTTTGCTTGTTTTGCTGAAAAAGAAAAGGGAGTTGTAACATGTTTTTTCTCCTTGTTTACTTGTTTATTTTTTTGGTGCCTGTGATTGACATAATATTACTCAAGAGGTTTTCTGTAAAAATGCAAAGCAAACTCTTGTGAGTAAATGTGTGGGGAAGGGTGCTGAATAGTGCTCTGGGAAATGTACTTTCCCAAGTACTCTATCACACATGCAGTGAAGTGCCTTGGTTGTTAAGGTCACATGGTGTGACGTGTTACTATTCGAACCCACATACAAGCTGTTGTCCCATTTGAATAAACAGATTTGGTTGTTGGAACCCCAACCAGCCAGGTCAGATGGGTTTATTTATTATATTAATAAAGCCATATAAATGACTTTTAGAAAGCTTGTGGATGAATTTTAGCCAACAATAACAGTTCCTGTAAATTGTTGCTTCCTGTTTGTGACATAAATACTGCAAAAAAACAACAGTAAAATGGGAAACTAATACCCGGACTGTGTCCTAAGAGTGTGTCCAGCTGAAGTGACCCCTGTAATGCTTTGGAAAACATGCAGATGGGCATATCTGATGACTGGGTTGATTGAAAAATTGAATTATTTGGAGTTTTAGATCTAGTTTCGGAGGTGGTAGTTTGAAACATGCTGTAGTCAGATAAGCTCTGGTGAGTGCACTTGTGGTGAGGAAAGCTGCCAGATAACATGGGAGATACAGAATCCTGTTGGATAACTGATTTGAGGGGATTTCAAACTTAGGAAAAGAATTGGAAAGGTGTAACACTGTTTAAGGTAAGAGAAGTCCAGACAAACGCAGAAGACCACCATAGAAAGTTAGGGTATTGTTTCTCACAGAAAGTTAGGGATTGTTTCTCATCCATTTAGTTTAGTCTTTAAAATGGTAATATACGTAAAAGAAGCATTCAAGAACAAAGAAAGGCAGGGATGCCTTCCTAGAACCACATTAAAAGAATCATACATAATCCACACAAGAGCCTTTGTTAAAGCTTAATTACTCTAGGATAGATATTAAGTAATGGACTATCATATCCCTCATACCAACAGACATTCCACATGATGTGATGAGCCATTTTACAAACACTTTCTATCCTCCCTTTTCTCCTCCTGCCACATTCCCTGTTGTATATTCCTTCCACTTATATCCCTCTGGTTTTCAGTCCCTGCCGTGACCTGGTTTAACAGAATAAACCAAACCCATCAAAAAGAATGAGATGGTTTTCTGCTGGGTTAATGGGTTAAATCAGATCATACAAGATTTTTTTTTTTTTTGAGCATCAGAGCCAGTTTAAGGAATGGAGTAAAACACTAGCTATGAGTCATAATCAGTACAAGAAGCTTCTTACTTCTCTTGCTCTCATGACTATGGGCACTTTCTCACGTGGATCTACTTCAGTGACTAATTAAGTTTATTAGATCAAAAGACTTACCAAAATTTCTGTTATTGTTCTTGATGAAAGTTCTTAGAGACATTTGAAAAAAGTGAATAGCAAGGAATATCACAGCTACAGTAGAATTTTTGACAGAAATGCATGCTGGAGCTGTGCGTAGCCCTTAACAGCATTTTGCTGCTGTTCAGCCTAGAAAACTATATGGCCTTAAGATGTAAAACAGAAGCATTGTTATGGCGACCTAGAGAAAACTGTCATTTGGAAAGAAGACACATTGATATTTTTATGGGTAATATTCTTTTTATGTATATAAACATTATAATGCTGACTGCTTTATTAATGCTTTTATTGGTTCAACAGCTATACCAGTGTTTCTCAAGCTTTTTGCGTTTTCTGCCAATCCTTCTTTTTAGAAGCCCCAACACTGGAAAAACAGAGCAGTGGCAATTAATGCTACTGAGAAAGCATGGATGTCCAGGTTCCCAGACTAAAAATAAACAAGTCATATTGAGTAGGAAGTGAGGTCCCTTGTCAATATGATATGTTTGTATCCAGGTTCATAAGTATTTGCTGAACAGAACAGCATAAGGAATTCAATCTTGAGCAGCTTGCTTATATGTATTCCTTCTGGCATTGTGATTTTGATGTTTATTTGCAAATGTTGGGGTTTTTTTGATTTGTAACTATGATATGCCCTCATGAATTAAAATGGCTACATTTCTGAAAAAGAAACAAAAAAACCCAAAATATCAGGAGAACATTTTCACATTTCCTTAGCATCGCTAAGGAGAGAAGTAATAAAATCAAAAATATTTGTATTATTCATCCCAGGAGAAACATGCTGTGTTTTGTTTTGTTGGTTTTTTTCTGACTGGAGACTGATATGTGACAATTTAATTCAACCACTATAACCTTATACAAACAATTTTGTCACCAAAAGTTGCTGACTTAGAATACCCATTGCTTTTTCTTGTCTTCTTCATCTATGAATGAAGTATCAATACCAACAAGTCTGAGGCAGGAAAAATGGTAAAATTACATCTCCTGAATATTCAGTGCATTTAGATCTGTCAAGGAATTCGTCTTGGAGCTGGAGATATACCAGCTCTTCTCCAGTCTCAAAAACAACTAACGCCTCACTCCCTCAGCTGGACCTGTTTCAATCCCAGTTTCTTTGAACAAAATTTTTGTCAAGTCCATTAAAATATTTTCCTTTGTGTTTCCCAGTCCAGTAGAGTGCTGGGAAGTGAAGAGAAAGGGAAAGGTCACAGAACATTCTAGAGAAACAGGTAATCATTTTTTTTAGTTAACTTTGTGATCATTATCAAGACCCAGCTCTGAAATAGTTGTGCTGGCAATATTTGTAAAGGTGTGTCATGACCCTTCTTACCATTCAGAGTGTGTAATATGGTTTTCAGCATTAGCTGGCTGAGCAACTACCATAGGATTAAGTTTACTAAAGGGTCATTGTCAGAATATAAGATGTACTATTTTTTAAAAACTTCTCCATTATTGCTATTCAGCATCCTATATAACTATTTAGACAATGTGAGTCTTGTTGGAGTTGACAAACACTTAAAGATCATAGATAAAAATAATGTAGTCTAATGTTATGTTCCTACATTCATTAAAAATAATTTAATTTAGATATTTTTATAATGCTGAGAACCTAGCAGCTTGCAAAATGAACACAAGTTGCTGAGTCTTCTGAGCTTTTGAAAATCAGGCTAAATACTGAATGCCGAGGTTGCCCTCTGTGTGTGGGGGGGAAAAAAAAGACCAGCCCCTTACATGTTAACTCCTTTTCCCACTAGTTATTGAACTCTTACCAAGCTTCCCCCGTCCTGGTGAACACTACTTGAACAACACATAAAGGAGCTGACTGATAATACCTTTTGGTCAACCAGTCTTTTGGAACTTGATAATAATAATAATTAATTCCTGTTTTTATTCTGCTTCACAGACTCAAGGCATTGATACTCAACAGGTATCTGACCCAGTGAAAAAAGATAAGCATTATATGTTTGGTTAATTTTTTAAATCCAAATAAGACATTTTTTTCTATAATCTCAAACCTCAGTAAAGAGTATGTTTCACAAAGATAAGTACAGAGTTCTTTGGTTGGGGTTTCACTCAGTCTCAGCATTTGGAAGAGCTCATTTTTCTATAATTTAAACTGTCTCCATCACGTTATTACACTGTTATGTATTGACTGACAACAGTCTCACTAGTGAAAAAATAAACCCAAGGCAAATTCCAGAGAGGGAAAAAAATATTTGCTCCTACTGGCAGTAGGGTACAAGCATGTGTAATAATTTGCAGAGCAGCACTAAAGCCAGCTGCAGCTAACGTTGTCCATGGCTGGCTGGTGACACATCTGCCAGGTCAGGTCAGGCTGAGGGAGAGTCCAGGGGCCTGGGCTGCAGCAGTCATTTTGGCACTTGAGGAGATGTGGTCTTTACCTGCCATCAGTGCTGGGGCTGTGCCTGTCACACCAGCCAAGGCGCTGGAGAGAACCAGGTGTGGAGAAAAAAGACACATGAGCCACCCACAGTACAGAGGGAGAGATGAAATTAAAAGGGAGTCCCTCTTTGCCAGCCTCTAAGTCTGGGCACAAATCATTACAGATGTAATTGGCTTCTGTGCGACAGGAGGCGCAGTTAAGTAGAGTTTAAGCACAGTTTAAGTTTGGTACAGTTGAGTACGTTGTAGTGTTATGATGGGTAAGGGCTTGCCTGTCAAAAAGGAGATTAATAAAGAATGTTTTTTAAATGTTTTTGCAGTTTTGGCACTTTCTTTCCCAGCTGCAGCTGTTTGTTCCTAGTTATTGTGAATCATACCCAAGGGGAAAAACATAACAGATCACATTCTTCTAGGCTTTCCTGGAACTGACATTGCTTAGAGGAAGTTTAACAAAAAAATAAATAAATGTCCTGACTCTTAATATTTTTTTTCTGTGTTTTAGATCCAGACTGGAGTATTATCCACATAATAATATGTGGGATAAGGTGAGAAAATAAAGGTCAAGACAGGCCAGGTGGCATAGACACTCCAAAACAGCCAGTTACTACTTTAGAATGGTTGGATATCTTAAAATCACAATATTGTCTCAGTGACAGTGCATAGCTCACTGCTAGCACATTTCCTTCTAGGTTCTGGTGCTCTAGCAATGAACAATGAAGGCTGTACACTCCTATGGGTGCAAGGTCCCCGCTTATTGTCAATGTTTGCTTTCCTAAGTACCCACCTACTGATAGCACCAAATGTTCTGTGTCTTGCTGAGCATGCACTTGGCTGTTGTTGGTTCACAGAGCAAAGCAGATTTAGCAAGCCAGTTAGACTGCAGCGGAGCCTGTCCCAAAGACCTTATGAAATAATACGTAATAATTTATTTGCACTACATGATTTCAAGGACTTCTGCTTTGCACTGTACAGCTTAGACTTTGCTACACGAGCTTGAAAATTGTAGGTTTTCACCTGATAAAAAAGAAAAGAAACATTTTTGGTGACTGTTTTTACTTCTGTAATGGTAAAGTAACCCTCTGCTGCATCTGTGATAGTACTTCTGACTGACTCAGAGGGGGTAGTGGTATAGTAAGCGTACGACATTGGCACTTACAGCATTGTGGTTCTTTGTAGCTTGAAATACAGAAAATTACTCTTTTTTTTCTCATATGATTCTTAAGAAATGCTTCAGACTACAGTAGCAGGAAGTTTACCTCTAAGGATTTTCTATTCCTTGTGGTCATATTTATGTATATCTTGTCATGAATTTCTGTGGAGATACAGTATTTTCTGGACTGACCTCTGCATCTTTTAGCTCTGAGAGTCCCACCCCCAATGCTAAAGGCATTTATGAAAAGTCATCTGTGCAACAGGAGGCAGGAAATGTGTGTGCCATGATATGATCCTGTCCAAAAGAGAAAATTTTCATTCATCCAGCTTTAATCTGTTCTCCAGAAGATGAGGAAAAAATGGTTAAAATGTCTTCAAGACTGCAGAGAAGACTTTCAATATCTAAATGGTTTCTCAGTTATTGTTCTATTCAGAATACAAAAAAGACTAGGGTTTAGTTCTGTGTGGAGGGTTTCTTGGACTAGTTACATCATGGTACTGAAAGACATAAGACAGACGATAGCAGTACATTAGCAGTGCTGGAAAACTCCCATGTGTTCAGCAGAAGCTGATATGCTGTGTCAGATACCAGAACTGTTTTCATGGAGCTTCCCATGGAGCTGAAACACTAGAGGTCCTGAAGCTTGTAGACCTCTTTGTGAACAGCCCACGGAACAGAGCGTAGAAAATCTCAACCTAATGGCAAAGAATATCTCTGACCCTGCCCTATCCTTCTGCAATTAATAGGGGAAAGGCTCTAGCCATAGGTTCATTGCTTTTCATATGTATCAGCATGCCATAAAGGGATGTATGGTCTGACTCTGTGAAATGTTGGAATTAACCTTTTCAGAGGGAGGTTAATAGAATGTCATATCACCAGAGCAATAAAACCAAGTCCTATGCCTATGACTGAAGTTTCCACATTTTAGCACTAGAATTTGTATCTTGCTGTGGCTCCCCTTTAGTAAAGAAACCAAACCCATATACTTTTTTAGTATATAATAACACTGTAATAGTTGATATGGATTTGTTCTTTCCTCTTTTTTGGCTCATGTCATGATTGTAGCACAAAGAGCAATTCAAAAAAGGAAGAAAGAAAAATGAAGGAGAGGTTTCCCTCAAGAAACACAGGACCCAAGAAAACCAGAACGGCAAGCAAAGATGTAAATTTTGGAAAGAGCAAATCTTGCCAGCCACAAGGCACTCTGCAGTTCTCCCTTCTGCTACTGCCTGAGTCAAGGAACAGACAATATGTCACAAAGCATCAGGGTATAGTTTGGAGCCCCAGTTCTTCAGTCAATGAAGGTACATGAAAGCGTAATGTGTCTGATTTGCTTAAATAGTTCCCAAGACTTTGGTTATGGAGTATGACTCTACCAGCAAGGGAGCAGATACTAGCAGAAATCAAAATTATTCTTGCTTCTTTTTTTTTTTAATAAATAGTTTGCACACCTTGGCTAATGTACACATGAAGCTTCTCTGACCACTACTAAACCAGCTTAGTAGTTAGTAGAGAGTCTCTCCCAAATATAAAGTATCATTTGTCTTGAACAATACATGCTGATTTAGTGAGGCAGACTCCACTTCCAGAAAGAGCTCTGATTTTCAGGAAACAATTCCAGGAAGAAACGATCACGCAGGAATTTGGTGGAAGCTGGCTCCTGGAAAGTGCTTTCCTTTCCCACCCACAGACAACAGGACCTAGCAGCCCAAACACTCCATCCAGCCTCTCCTACCTCCAGGCACACACAGGTAGAAAGCCCTGCTTGCTTTCTCCTCTCCCATTCTTTCTCCACGTTGATGATCATTGCCCTGCTTACCCCACCCCACACCCATCATACTTCTCTTCCCCAACTGCTCCATCAGTGAATTCTGACAGTGCTGTGGTACTGGGGTCATTGCTGGGACAGTCAGTCACTTCTACAGAAGTGTCCAAACAAAACAAACTCATCTAAGCCCTCGTGGACACGCAAGCTACTACAGTAGCACGACACTCATGGTGAACTTAGCCAGGTCAGTTATTACTGCCGGTTAGCACAGCCAGGAGAAGGAGATGCAAACCTGGCCCTGGCTCTCATTGTGGTGGCTGGGCTTGGCTTGTTTTCTTCCTCATATCTGGACGAGTCATATCAGGGAGGAGCACATTGAGGAGCCCTCAAAATCGAAACAGAAAGCGAACAGCACGTGACACAACAGGGGCTGGCTGTGTCACAGCCCAGCCAGCTCAGGACCTGGCAGCACACAGACCAGCTCGGCTCCCCAGGGCACCTCAGCCCTCTCCAGTGTGTCTCAGCTCCGCAACCAGTCAGATGGGCAGCCTGTAAGTATCCTCCACCAAGTCCCCCACCTTTTTAATGCCACTGGCTTTGGAGGGAACTGCCAGGAGAAGAAGTGGTGTGCAAATGTCTTGGAGGGAGCAGGTCCTTCCCCAGCTGTAGGACTCTTTAAGGGCAGTCCCTCTACAGTCTGTTGCATTTGCCACTGGCTGATTTTTGTTTGCTGGCAATCCTTAGCTTGTAAGTGGCCTTTCTTCACCTATGGTTTCTCTGCAGATAATCCTGCCTGAGGGGAAAGAGGGTTCCGGGAAGCCGAGGGGCTGGGGGGGTGGGGGGGGGGGGGTGTGCAGGTATCGTGAAGAAAAAGTGCCAAGTTCAAAGTTGCCTTCCTTTCCCACTGCTCTCACATGGCATTTCTCCCTGCAGCAGCCAGGGAGAGGGGATGCAGGAAAGTCAAGTCTTCTGGGGGGCTCTTCGGTGAAAGAGAACATGCCCATCCCCTCATCCCTTTGCATTCAGCCCCACTGCAATGGTAACCAGTGGCTCCACAGATATGTGTGACCCTGCACAGAGGCCAGATCCTGTGCCAGAGCTGCATGCATTCCTGCCACCTTTGCCCAGGCATTCTGCCAGCAGCTTGTTGGAGGAAGCGCAGCCCCAGCCTGGGAAGCTGCTCACCTGCCTACCAGCAGCAGAGGAAAGGGCTGCACAGTCTCAACAGCACAGAGGGTGCCACATCTCCCACAAAGACATCCCAGGGGGCTCCTGAGCCATGCAATGGAGCCTCTCTCTGCCAGGGAGACTGAGACACAGAGCTCTCCTGTGGTGAAACCCAGTGTTTCCAGCAATCCCTGTCCAGAAAGAAGGAGGCTGAATCCAGGCTGGGGCTTGCTGTGCCATGCTTTGATTCCTCTTTCTTGCACCTTTGAGGAAGAGCCACAGAGTCTCCTGTCCAAAGGCATAGGCACCTCCTTAGAGGTGGCAGGGCTGCAGATGTTTGGGAAAAACCCCAGCTGTACCCTGGGTGACAGCTCTTTCCTGTTTGTTCCTTGCTTCTCAGCCAGGTTGCCACCAAAGGATGAGCTGCAGAGCTCACAAATGCCGTGCTTGCGGCTGCACTGGTGGCAGGGTGCTAGGTCTCAGCCTTCACTGCCAAATGATACATCGCCTCCAGGCCAGCCATGTGTTCCCTATCCAGCTGGCACAAGGCACCCACTCCAGGCATGTTTCTGGCCCTGTCACAGTCACACTTAGGGACAGGGATTTACCTGCTGGGCTGGCTGGAGAGGCAGCATGAAGATGAAGGGCAAAGATGTCTGAAATTTGACAATGAACAGAGTGGCATCACTGGGAAAAGAAAATATGTCCTTATAGAAATGAGCCTCAAAGCAAAAAAGAGGGCAGAGATACCATGGGGTTTCCCCAGGCCCTCATAGATGCAGAGATCACCCAGCAGCCCAGGGTCTCTGAGGTGGCTGTCCTCTACCTGTGCCATATATATCCAGAAACCTGCTAGGAATTTAACTCTCTGTCCCCTCTCTAGTAAATATGTGCAAGTAGGACAATTCTAATAGCTTTTATGTTTTATGGATGCTGGGGGAGTAAACATGAGATGATTGAACAAAAAGCCTGTATTTCTACAAGCTTGCCTTCCTAAGGAAGTCAGTCTAAAGAAATATGACAGCAAGTATTGGCAAGTGGGCAAGGCCAGGAGCTGGCTGGGCTGTACTGGTCCCAGCTCTGAGGTCTAACAGAAATCCCTGGGGAGCTGGTCAGCTAACCAAGAGTCCCTTCCAAGTGCAGCTTGTTCTGACGGCTGTGAGGCAGGACAGCAGGGAGAACAGTGGGTGGTGTGAGCCCTTGTAGAACAGGGAGAGGAAAAGCAGAAATGCCTGGCTGCAGGAGACTGTAAGACAAACAAATCAAGAGGCAATATCAGCGGCAAGACAAACCATGGTGAAATTATATGTGCCTGAGATCTCATTTTGCAGCACACTCTGTGCCCAAGCATGAATATTTTCCTTGTTGCTTGTGTCTTCATTGTAGATTCAGAACAATGGGCAACCTCCATGTGACCTTCCAGTCTCTCCAGAAGCCTGTTGTGAAGAAGACCTCCAAGGGAAGCTACAAGAAGTGAGGGAAAGGTGATCAGGGGAAGTGGACAGGTTAGTGTCTGATGCTGCGACCCCCTTCCATGCTGTGTGTGTGCTGCTCCTAGCCATGACTGTGTGGAGAAGAAGTTTGGGACAGAGAAGCTTTATCTCTGTGCTCATTAAACAGAGGTGCCCACTTCCAAGTATCCAGGGAGAGACAGGGAGTGGGAGGGGGATGCTGAAGGGTCTCTAGTCACTGCAGCCAGGCACTGGGTACAAATTTAGTGGAGTCTCTCCTGCTGCTCTAAAAACTCAGAGGCTGGGCTGTACCAAATCCAAAAGCAACTTTGAGTGATGGCCTAGAGAACATCCAGGACATCAGGATGATATACCACTAGACAATAGGCAATGGAGGGGGGACAGCGGGACCAATGTGAACTTTTTGAAGGAAAGTGGTGAATGATTCTCAGGAGATAATGCTTGTCAAAGGGGAGAAGAGTTATTTGCAAAGCCTCGAGCCAGAGGCTGAGTTTGAAGCCAAGATTTCCAAGCTCTTTGTGTTGCTTGTGCCTCTTTGCAGATCTGGGCGGTCTGTGCTGCGATGCCATGTGGATCTGCAGCCAGTGATACCTCTTCCTGATGCCACTTCCCTGTTTTTCAGTGTGAAGCAGAAGCCTGCAAGAGGGCACTGAGGACAGTTCACATTTCTGGGAGAGGAGCAGTCTTGGGTTTGCCAAGCAGTCTGAAAGAGGAGCACAAGAGGATGGCAATCACAGGTCTGTCTCAGTAGCATCCATGTCCCTGGGCCTCAGAGGAGGGTGAGTGGCTGCAGGTTGATCCATGCCTCTCTGAGCTGGACAACAGCCTGTCTGTGTAGGGCATTGGTCCTTAGGCAACCAGGACAGAGGAGCACCATGTCTGCCAGCCTCAGCGGTGGGAGCAGAGCTGCAGGCAATCAGTCCTGGTGTGCTCAGAAATCTATGGGCATGCAAGGACCTCAGGTGCAAGTGGAGCTCAGGTGCTGGAAAAGGGTGGCATCGATGGCACTGACTGTCCCAGAGCTATAGGACAGGGCAGGGAGGCAAGGGGAGCCCTGCAGTTCAGATCTGTCATACCTGCATTAGTCCTGTCATACCTCAGTAGTCCAAAGATCACAAGGGATATCTTTGTCTGACCAAAACTGAAAGAAAATCATTTTCCCAGAATAGCTTTTAACTCCTCCTTCTTTTACTCAGTAGTCCAAAGATCACAAGGTTTGTCTTTGTCTGACCAAAACTGAAAGAAAAGCATTTTCCCAGAATAGCTCTAAGCCCCCTTCTTATTAGATAGCAGTTTTGCTCCCCTCCCATCACTGCAGTTTGCTGACAAGTGCCTCTCTGTTCAATAGGAGATCATGGTGCAAGGGGCATGTGTGGGGCTGAGTCATACCATCCTCCCAGTGCTCGTCCACACACAGGACATCATTAAGCCACCTTTGCTGTGACAAAAAATGCACCTAATGCACCCCCTTGACCCAGTAACACATGCAGCACAGTCCTAGGCAGGACTGAGATGCTTCAGTTCTATTTGCAAGGGGAGTCCTAGACTCCAGTGACACAGGCTCAGAGCACATCTTGGGAAGGGTGCCATAACAGACAACAACTGAGGCATCCCCCCCTTTGTGTTTTGCAACAGGCATCCCCACAGCAGGCTTTTCCATGGCACCAAGAAAGCATACAGGCACCAGGATGGGTCTGCTGCAACAGAGGTGTACAGGGTACCTGCTCTATGTGCTGAGTCTCCTCGAGGCTGCTGGGACCTTGACCTTGATGGTCTACGCACTGCTGTGTGAAGCTGGAAACCTGGTTGACATCCCTGACAAACGCATTGGCTTCTACAACTTCTGCCTGTGGAATGAGACAGCTGGGGAGCTGCAGTGCCTGGACTATAAGCATCTACAGGTGA